GGGGGTTATTCATATGTGTTATATGTGCAGCAGCAGTATTTCTTACATGCTTACCACAGCATGTTGTGGATGTATTGACAGTAGCAAGTCTCGGTACTTGCTCTGCCGCAGCAGCAGCAGCGTAGCAGATATATTCCTCCAAGACCAAATACATTAACATTGTCATGTACATTACCAGGCCAATCCCTCCGAGAGTTGTCATGACAGAAATGCCTTTATTGTCACTCACTTTTGATCAGTTTCTGATATAACATTATGAGAGTGACTGTAACAAGTTCATAGTCACGGGAAGAAGGAGACAGGAACCGGCGAACGTTAAAATACTTTAATCACATAAACGAACACAAAATGAAAGTAAACGGCAGCCCCTCGCGGACGACTGCCGCACACAAAACACAAAATAAACTCCAGGCCTGGTCCTCTCTCCTCCCACTGTCGTCACTCCTCCCTTTTATCCTTCCCGAGCTCCTCCGTGAGACTCGCGACCGGTGAGTGGGTGCAGGTGTCGCTCATTAGCAATCACTCCACCGGCCTCGCTCCGTTCCCACGGCTCTCAGCCCCGCCCCTCTCGTCACAATAATATACATGAAATTACCCAATAGCAGATCTATACAGGTGGTGCTGGGGAAGGTGGAGGATTTCTGAAATGCACTGCAACTGCTACAGCAAGCTCATTGGCTGCTGATGTGAAAAGAAAACAATCAGCTGCAACATTTGAATAATGATGTGATTATATTAGATTGAGTTAGAACCTATTGGACTGTGCCATCTAGAGTTTTATGACAGAACTTCGTATTTAAAGGAATAATTCGCCCAAAAATGAAAGTTTGCTTAAAATTTACTTACCCATAAGGCCATCCAAGATATAAACCAAGAGTTCATCCAAGATATCATCCAAGAGTTTGTTTTTTCACCGGAACAGATTTTGAGAAATTTAACGTTATAATACTTGCTCATCTATGGATCCTCTGCAGTGAATAGATGCCATCAGAAGGTGAATTCAAACAGCTGATACAAACATCACAACAATCCAGAAGTAATCCACACGACTCCAGTCCATTAATGAACGTAATCAATGAATCCATCATTAAGACATTTTTAACTTCAAATTATTGCTTCCAGATAAAATGTGAATCCTCTATCCATAATATTGCTTTCTGATTCAATCTCATCTAAATCAGGAGAGAAATATGCACATATCAAGCACTGTTCATGAGCGAAAACAGTTCTAAACAAATATGTCGGTGGATTTCTATGTGAGAGGACAACAGAAGATGGATTTTTAAATTTTTTTACTAGAAGCATTATTTCAAATTATGGTCTTATATTTTAGCTACAGCTTAAAGTTAAAATGTGTTGATGGATTTGTTTCTTATAAAACAAATCACTTCACAAAATGTTAATGAATGGACTGGAGTTGTGTGGATTACTTGTGGATGATAATAATAATAATAATAATAATTCATTACATTTATATAGCGCTTTTCTAGGCACTCAAAGCGCTTTACATTGTCAGGGGGTATCTCCTCATCCACCACCAGTGTGCAGCATCCACCTGGATGATGTTTTTATGAGCTTTGTGACAATAAAGACATTTCTAATGTTTATATATATATATATATATATATATAATTTATTTGTTTGTTTTTGCAGCAGGGCAAGTAAAAATCTGAAGTGCTAGTCCTTTCAAATACCTAATGTTAAGCCCTGAACTTCTGGTTTTTCTTTCCTATTGGCGCTGCTCAGAGGTGTTCCACCTATCCACTTTCTTTAATCACACACAGACCTTTACCAAATCTGGAGTTGTTCAAAAGTGGAAAAGAAACAAGGTTCCATTTTTATCTGCGCCGTCATCATTTGATTGATCAATATTATGAGCCAGAGCCAGGTTTCTTCTTGTGCAGATACTGGAACGTTGTGTTTGTATGTACACACTGACCTCATCGATTCTGGCATCTAAACAGACATGCATGAACATGATTTTAATTCCTCAAGTTGACAGAAATGAGACAACATATTAATCACTGTATAATTTATTATTATATCATTAATGTCTTGCACATGATTACTCTTCAGTGCCACAAATAGTTGTTACAGTTACATACAACTGTTTGTTTTTCTTTGTTTCAGGAATTCCAGTAAGTACCCTGTTATCACTGAGGCTTTAATTCAGAACAAATGGTCTGGAGGTGGGCAGATACAGCATGGCATGCTGTGATGGCTTTGCAACCTTGATATAGACTGCAAAATGAGGTGAGATAAGATGGAATGGAGGATATATGCTCCAGGAGACAGTTTCTGAATTGATCGCACTCCATTTTTCACTGTCTGGCATCCATCCTGACCGCCTGTATCGTAATAACCAGGCATGCCTTTTAAAAAATCCAACAACTGATTCAAATCTATTCGTGCCTTCACAAAGAATGCATAGTAAACACTAGTACATGTTGAAGAGTATGTGTACAATCCTCATCATAGCAACACTGCAGCAGCACAACCGCTTTTATTGCTGTGGTTGCATCACATTTCTCAACATGAGCAGAAAGCCACAATAATAAAGGAGAAGAGTGTGTAAACATGTATGGCTGCCCCAAACACATTCCATTTTTATGAGCTATTTGTCACATAAGCTGTGTTTATGTATTGCGAATGGACTATTAAAGACAATGGCAACAATGCTGTATGGAACACTTTAATAATGTCCATTCTAGTGCATATCTGGGGGGTTTGGGATGTAAACAAACTTTTTCTTTTTTGTTTTTAATTCAGATATGCTGGGTTTTTATGTTTTTAATTATACCATTTCTTTTTCTTCATTAAATCCTAACAGGGCACTCCAGGACGAGATGGCTACCCGGTAATTGTCACTCCAGTTATACACTCACCGATCAACTGATCACATCTGTTTTAACCACAAGCTCACATAGGACTTGGGGTCTCATGTAGACCTCAGCTAACAAGCAGTGTTAAGTGTCATAGTGCGCCACCTGCTGGACATATTAGAAATTATTGCTAAAGAACCTGCTGATGCCATCTGGGTTGGGTTTAAACTGCCAGATGAGACCTTGGGTGTGTTTCCTAAAAGTATTGTTAAGCCAACTATGGTTGCAAGTTCTGTCGTTACCAAGATAGTTCAACGATTTGCCGTTTCCTGAATCCATAGTTCCAACGAACATTCGTAAGTTGTGTGGTTGGATCCTGTGCTTGAGCAAAATAAGTAAGCTAACATGTAGTACAATCTATATCTTTCATTCCATACCTAAATTTCATTCTATGTCTTTTAGTTTAAGAGAATTAACGAAACGTTTTTAAAGAGTTTGCATATGCGTATGTACTCTTGTACCAAAGGGGAATCCCTGGGTGAAATAAGCAAACCTGTAAAATAACAGAGAACAAACATAGCGAAGCAGTCCTCAGATGTTATGTTATTTACAGCAATAATCCATCATTAACAGCATTTCTAACCAACACTGTTCGAATTTCAGATGTGCGACAAAGTTGAGACTAGCTAGTTTGTTTCACCAACGCTGAATCGTACTATGGTGGTTAATTAGCAAGTTACATCTTTGTATGGGAAACACACCCCAGATCTCTTATTTCTTGTAAGTAAGCTTGTCTTTTACTTTGTGCTTAAATTTTGAGTAAATCAGGTGTTAAACTGGTTCTGATGGGGTTAAACAGTTCAAAATACATACATGAATGTAATTTTTTTCACAAAGGTTTTCATATGGTACTGTATATATATAATGGAACTGATAATTGTACGCATATATAATGTATTACACAGGCATACAATCCATCTGTAAGCATAACCTACCTATTAAACATGAACCTCAAACCTCAGAAAGATTAGTTCAAATTATCAATATTAGATAAGCTCATTTAATCACATCAAATCTTCTTATTTCAATAGTTGTTAGTTTCAGTTATTAAAAAAACAAGTTATTCTCAATTTTTTTTACCTCTACACCTACACAACTCTTACAGAACAGAGAGTTATTGTTCTTTCCAATAGCTTTGCTTTTAAAAGAGGCATTGGTTACATGAAGTCTCCCTGACAGGCCATCGCAATCCAGATGCGATCAGTTGCATGCGTTGGCAGCCTCCTCTCTGCGTAAAGATCAACTGGGAAATATAGCCCTGTGTGAAGTCTTTCCAAGCATAACAAGAGAGCTGCTCCAAACTGAACCGTGTGCAGGACTGCACCACATGTGGCTCTTGCCGGATTTCCAACCGCACTCAGAACCATCACTACACTAGTCATTCGTTTCTTCTACATTATACTGAATAGACCGACATGTGCAACCCCTGCATGCTCTCTTGTCACTTGTCCGTTGTGAAAGTACAAGCTCACATTACCAGACCAAGACAGACAGCTCTATTGTCTTCATTTCCTGATTCAGAATAAAGTCATGTTGATCAGAATAAAGACATGCAAGTCAGAGAATGATCAGAAATCTCTCTTTATCCCTATATTTGATTTTTGTCTAATTTTACATCGTGTATACAATATTATATTGACACAATGTTTTAATAGATGTTGCATTTAGATCTACACCACTTTTACATTTATTATGACCTTTTGCTCTAAAGGTTTTTTCAATCAGAAAGCATTCACATTTTGTTAAGTATGTTGCATTATATTTATCACAGGCCAGAGACTCAAAGTGAACAGACCCCTTTCAGCACCTTCAGTGCCGTGGACAGCGACTTCCTGTCCTTTAGTCTGAGCTTACTGAAGCCAGTGATGATGGGTCCACTAATTATTATTACAAAAATATAATATTTTTAGAATCCATCAAAGCTAAACTGTATGGTATTGGTTTTATTGTGAACGATTAATCCATGCATGTCAAATTTTTTTGACTTCATGATTTTTAATAAAAATGTCATAACATGTCACTTCTAGTGACATGACAGACTTTTCTCTGGTGATGTATGCCGGACATCTCTAGTCATTTAGTCTGCTTAAACGCCCGTTTCTTACAATCGACTGCAGGCTTGCATTTAGATCTGCCTCCATCCAATCAATATCCGATGTATTGGACCATGTATAGGACCAAGTCCCCGCCCTGCCTTTTTCAAATAGCCATTTTACTCAGATGCCCATCACTATAGGGAAGAAATTATCAAAATAGAAAATTAAAATCTAATGTACAAGTATATGATTGCCCTGAAATAACCATAAAAACTCATCTTGAGTCTTTTTCTGTCTCTTTTTCTCTCAGGGTTCAATGGGTATGGATGGTAAACCTGTAAGTACAACATCATTGAGTTGTAAGTACAACTCCAGTCATCTGTAGGGATGTATATTTATTGCTGCACAGTAACACACTGCTCATTAAGCTGTAAAAAATGAAATAATAATAATAATTTATCTCTTCTTATAGGGACCTCTAGGTCCAAACGGCAGTCAGGTAGGTTTTTTCATAATTTCAATCTGAAAGCGACTGTATTATTGTGTGTTGTGTAATTCTGTCTTGGACTCATAGGCCAGTTTGTAATACATGTTAGACTTCTAACAAAGCCATAACAGCAACATCTGGTACAAACCAGCCCCACCTCCTGGTTTGTACAGCACAGGTAAACTTCAGTCTATCACCTCATTCACAAGAGTGTAATGCTGGAAAGTAGTGTTTAGATCTAATTCCTCAGGTTACTCCAGGGGCCAGCTGCACAAGCTGTGGGCAAGTTAAAAAGCATAGTTGTGGTGAAAATTGGCACTAAGTTACAATTTATGCACTACTAAATATTAAACTTAGCTAAATGTAACCCTACACTATTAAATAATAATTTACGAAAGTCGCATTAAAGATTTCAATTTTCATTATAAAGTTTGTTAGTATTTATTACTCCTTATTATCTTATCTTAGTTACAGTTTCTGAATATGAATTACATATTTAAATACACATATTATTGTATTTCACAAATATGTATTGTTTTTTTTAAATACATATCATTTATTACCATAAAAAATAACAAGAAAAGCTGAAATGCACAGCCTTTTCTTTATGCAAATTTGAAGGCTGCTCATTGGATCAATAAAGGTAAACATCATATTTTGCGACTACATATTTATTTATTTATTTATAGACTTATTTAGGTTTTGCCTTAAGAGCAAATGGTACAATCAAAATTAAAAATGAAACTCCACCCAAAAATGAAAATTCTGTCATAATTTACTCACCCTCGTGTTGTTCCAAACCAGTATGTCATACTTTGAAGAACTTTGGAAACCAAACAACCATGGAACCCAATAACTTCATATGTATTAAAAAAAATGTCATACAGTTTTGGAGCAACATGATACGACGGCATTTTAGTGCCACGTAAAATAAATAAAAAGTAAATGTAAGATTACGAGATTAAAGTCATAATATTTTGAGAATAAAGTCATAGCCATATGAGATTAAATAAGTAATAATTTGAGAATAAAGTCTTAGCAATATGAGATTAAAGTCATAATATTTAGAGAGTAAAGGCATAGCATTATGATATTAAAGTCGTAGTATGAGAATAAAGTCAAAAAACAAAGTCGTAGCAATACGAGATTAAAGTCATTATATTTTGAGAATTAAGTCATTGCAAGGGCAGTATATTGCGAGAATAACGTTAATCAATGTGAAAATTCCACCACCTACTCCGCAGAAAACATCTGTGGGGTCCAACCTTTCATTCTTCACATGTATTTAAAGGGGTCATATGATGCGATTTCAATTTTTCCTTTCTCTTTGGAGTGTTACAAGCTCTTGGTGCATAAAGAAGATCTGTAAAGTTGCAAAGACTAAAGTCTCAAATCCAAAGAGATATTCTTTATAAAAGTTCAGAGTCAGCCACACCTACCTAAAATGGCTCGTTCTAACACGCGAAACTACTTTGTTTGGTCTTCCAAAAAAGGACTAGAAATAATGTACAGTATGTGGAAAATAATGTGTTTTTTTACTTTAAACCGCATAAACACATTTCATTACACCAAATACACAAAATAATGTTCTTTTTAGCAGCATCATATGACCCCTTTAATTAAAAACAACAATAAAACGTTCTAAAGGTCGAAGTGGGCTCTAACTCGTTAACTTATATTGTTGTCTTTTCTGAGACTATTCACAAGCTGTTTTCAAATCCATTCATTATTTGTAGTGTGCCAGCCACCCAGTAACCGCAATAAGCTTTGTGCTTTTTTGCTTTTAATATAACACAGCTCAGCTTTCAAATCCATTCATCAAAAATTCTGTCAGTTTTATCCCGAAATACAAATTACAAATGTGTTTTCCTCTTTATTACAAGTTATAGCACGATATAAGCGAGAAGGAACATTAGAAGGCATGAAAAAAACATAAAGTATAATTTAATGAAACGAATATCACATTGTAATTGGAAAAATGATTGATTCACATGCCACTTAAACCACATTAAAGAGTGTGAAAAACATATTATCGTAAGACATATTGTTTGTATTTCGCTATACTTTGTTTTAGACTTTGTTTTATATTAAAAGTACCAAAAGCACAAAGCTTATTGATAGGGCTGCACGATAAATCGCATGCGATATTTAACGCGCATCTTGTCAGAAAGCCGGTTCTGTAATCAGCGGTAAATCTCCATCACGTGCGTGCTTTCACATTGAGCAGCATTTACTACACAGAGCCGTTGTTCACTGACAAGCTGCGCAAAAAATTGCGCTCCAGGGACCAGACATGAAGTTTCCAGAGGTCTGGACGCGGGTGCCAAAGGGTGCCCCGTCTCTGAGTCAGTAGATCCTTCCTGAGAGGAATCGGCCAAGGAGGGGCTGTCGCGAGGAGCATTAGTTCCGGGAACCAGGTCCGGGTAGGCCAATAGTGTGCCACCAACCGGACCTGCTCCTCATTCTCCCTGACCTTGCACAGCAACTGTGCAAGAAGGCTCACTGGGGGAAACGCATACTTGCGAAGGCCCCGCGGCCAGCTGTGTGCCAGTGCGTCCGCGCTGAGTGTTCCCTCCGGCTCCAAAACATCTCCAAACCAGCTGGACCGTCTGGGGAGAAAAGCAAGGTCTGACCACGGGGTGAAGGTTTGGCGGCAGGCTTGATATTATTGGGTAGCTGGCCCACTACAAATATGCATTTGAAGATATGAAATATTATTTCCTAGCATACTGTCCCTGTGAGTAAGTATATGACACATGGTATGATTTCTAGGGCTGGGTAAAAAATATCGATATCTCGATATTAATCAAGACGCGGCAGCGCATAGCGCACGTGAAGCGCACATGTCCTCCACATTAATACCAGTTTCAGCACAAAATAAACATGACTAAACATCCGAAGGTAA